CTGAGCACCTGACTTCTCCCTCCTGCTGGTGTTAACACGAGCTCACATGGTTTAGGAGCCCTGTGACAAGGACCTGGGGGGTGGCCTCTGACCACAAGTCCATCCAAGGGTGTGAAGGAACAGCGTCCTGCCCACGGCCACGTGCGCCTGGAAGCGGAGCCCTCTCTACTTGATTCATAAGTACTGTCTTCTGTTCAGATGCTCGAGGAAGGAGCTACAGGGTGAGTCCGGCGTTCCCAGGCGTGGGGCTTCTCTGACCCTGCCACCCCCTCATTCCTCTACTAGTTCTTTGACTTCAGTGAATTGCAGATGCTAGTACCAGGACTGGATCCCTTGTTGAGTCCTGATCCTCGGATTTGGTGATTTTCTGGTAGGATTCACGGAACTTCATGTCATGATAACCATACTTTGAATACAGCTCCGTTACTGCCAGGAAGGACTCAAAGGAAGAGATGCACAGGGCGAGGCCTGAGAGTGGTCCTAATGCGGAGCTCTCACGTCCTAAGGACATGGGTGCCCTCCTGAGAGCAGATGTTCTCAGGACCAGGAAGCTCTAGGAGCCTCTGGGTTGCTGGCTCTTATGGCCTCACAACCTGGTCTTGGGAGATGGACACCTTAGAGAGTCTTGGTGAGATCCATCCCTGCTCATTAGCTAAAACAATGTTCCAGCTTCTTTCAAGCTGGAACAAGGACCGAACTGTGATCTATTACAGCGGTCAGAAGGACTCTGCCAGGTGGATGCAGCCCCTTTTTCTCCAGTTGGCGACATCATGTTGTCCTGAGTTCTGTGGTTCAAGTCCTTCTGTGATCTCAAAACTCAAGAGCAGTCTGACTGTTCGGTTTTCCTTGGTCAGCTATTGGAGGAAGAGGCACACTTTAGGGCTGTAGACCCCAGAGGTGGATGTTCCTCTCTCCTTAAGGTGACTGAAGGGTAGATGCTTAGGAGATGGTGGCAATGCGGGAGGTCTGGGAGTCTGTAGACACTTGTGAGCAATGCAGATGAGAGCAGGGGAAACACCCCCACTCAGGTAGCACCCCACTTGCCACTCTAAAAATTTCAGGGGAACCCTGAAGCTGTAGAAACAGAAATCCCTCCTCTGGCCTAATAACAGTCAGAGTAGCAGTCCCAGCATGCTGATATCAACAGACAACAAGAAGTTGGACAGTCTCTTTTTCAAATTTTATTTTATTACTTTTTATGTGTGTATACTGTCAAATCAGATCTGACTGGTACAGGAGGAGATTGTTCCTCCTTCTCCAGCAGAGCATCGGGTGGATTCAAACAGCACTCCCTTGGGATTGCAGTGCAGCTTCTTGCCACTAGGCCACCAAAGCTCACCGGGAAGTTGGACATTCTCAAGTAGAATTTTCATGTCTTATTGTTCAGCAATGAATTGAGGGTTGAGTGAGATGAGGAAAAAGAAATATTCTATGTAGAAAAATGGACAGACATACATACTTATTAAAAAAATACCAAAAGTTTCCACCACAAAAAGACAGTCACTTTTCATTGCACATCACTGAAGTTCAAAGTATTTTCTTTTCAGTCAGAAAACAAAAAAAGAAAAGAGAAACATGATGGACATTGTTTAGGAAATCTCCAGTACTGTTCGGTGCCTAGAGTGCTGGCCACCCTGGGCGGTTGGTGAGCAGCAGGGTCAGAATTTATACTATCTTAGAAGTCTTTTTAAAGAAAAAAAAAATAGAACCACAAATGTAATGTAATTATAACAATGAACATCGCTTGAAGTGAAAAAACCAAATAAATGGCTTAGCAAATCAATAGCTACTACTAATGTCACCAAATGCACCATCAACCCAAGGAACCTGGTTTGAATCCAGCAGCTTCTCCAAGAGGAGAGATGGGCAATGTCCTGTCCCCCCTCACAGTCTCTGAATGCCTGCTGCAGGGCCAGCTGTGAGTTGGTTCTCACCCCATGGCTGTAACAACAGTAATATAGTTTATTATTTTGTAGCTTAGCAAGCCTTTATAGTATTTTTTTATATGTGATATGTATAACTAGCTCACATCTTAACAAGATTCTACTTTGTACTATTTACTGTAGATAGAATAATAGGTAACATGATGCAATCATGTCCAGCGGGTTTATTGAAAATACTCAGAGTTGTGAACTACGTCATGCAAGTCTACACAAAGCTATTTCTACAGCTTCTAGTCAACTCCAGAACTGTGTCTACGGAACAGGAAAGCTGATAGGCTGTGCTTTGCTCATTTTTATCTAAAACAAGAAAGTCAGGTACATATTTTACCTTACGTGTGACATGCTCTATCATGTTCCTAGGAAGTGAGGACTTCCGTGCAGTCTTGGGTGGGTGATGCTGAGATGTCCACAATTCACACATCTAAAGTCTGCAAGCATTATTCACACACTAGCTTCTGGCTCCAGCCTGTCCAGCCTTGTTCCTGCTCTACTGCCCACTGTCCACGCACTTCTGATGGGAAAGGCCCCAGGACTTAGGACATGTTCACATGCTGAGACAGTTCTGCCCTTTCCCATGGATCAGGTGAGCTGACCTGGGGATGCTGGGGGCGTTTCTGGAAGCCAGCCCTCTAGGGAGATGACCAACAAGAGCTTAATTATAAAGAAGTGAGTGTCGTCTATGGAAATGGGCCCCTCAGCTCAGTGGGAGGCATCTACAACGCCCATCTATCTCCATCTGTTGCGATGTTGCCGGCTGGTCCAGTGACAAGGACTTTTGCTTTCTTGGTGGAAGGTACAACGCATCACGATAAAGACTAAAGTTGTCAATATTTCTATTCTATTTGAATTAACACCCACTCGAATAGTCAAGAAATCAAAAGATAAGCACTTGGGTTGATGCCATCATGGGTGACCAGGAGGACATTATGCTAAATGAAATATCTCCATCACAAAAGGACAAATAATGCATAGCACCACTGTTATAAAGCAGGACTGACATAAGGGGGGTTGGGAGGAGAATAGGATAAGAGTGGCTAGATAATGAACATGACAATGGAACAGATGAAGGAAGGAACTATTTAAAGAAATACATGAAGAGGTTCATTGTAAAGAGCACTGGGAGAAAGCAGAGGGAGGTGATTTTTCAAAAGTGAATGAGTATTTTTTTTTAAGTAAACTGGGGAGGTAGAAGAAATGGGGAGGAATATTCAACAATAAATTAATGAAAATCCAAATTTTTTGTAAACTTTCATTAAAATCACAATTAATATAAAATATTTCTGTTAACAAAAGGAAATGTAATGACATTTCACTGGGGAAACGACTGTCAAGGGCCCAAGCCAAGGTCTAAATAGCAAGAGTGTCAGTGTAAAGATTAAGAGGGACTCACCTGATCCAGGCCTTGGTATTGGCAATTGTCTCTACACATCTGAAATTGAAGACGGTGAAGAAGGCTGAGAGAAGAACCAATGTCTGAATGACTGTCGTGCAAAGAGCACCGTGGACTGCCCAAGGAACAAACAGGCCTGAACTGAAGGAAGTACCACCAGTGTCCCTTAGAGACAAGCTTGGTGAGACTTTGATCCATTTACTTTGGGCATATTTTCAAGAAGAACAAGGCCTTAGACAGAAATACTGTTCTGGAAAAGGTGTGGGATGACAAAAGAGAGAAAGATCTTCAATGAGGTGGATCGAAGCAGTGAACAGACAATGGGCGTGAACGGGAAAGAGGCAGAGAGGATCGTGGAGGACCAGGCAACAGGCAGAGCTGCTCCAAGTTGTGATCAACTTGACAGCACCAACAACAACCAACTCCGACGACTCTAACCAGATCCCCCCAAACCTGTGATCACGTCACTGCCCTCAGAGCTGAGGTGAAGTGACATGGGACAGAGGCTGGGGTAGAAGTAGACAGTGGTATTTTACAGACTTTAAACCTGTGTGGGCAGTGTCCAATATCCACTCCTTCTGTGTACCAATGAGGGACTCTGAGGTGGCCAATTTCACCTTAGAAAATAAATGTCCCTCATCCTCAAATCTCTGTATCAGATGACCACTGGTCACTGCCCTGGATAGAAGAGTGTCCACCGTCTTCAGTGCATCAAATTAAAGGGGCTGAACTCTAGCCCTTCCATACTCCAGCTGTGTGCCCTGGACAAAAGATGTGACCTGTCAGAACCCAGGACCACAAGACATGACACAGGTACCAAGGATACTTATTAACCACGGGAATAATTATTAAGATATTATAAAGAGCATGCAAATCCAAGGTACTTATCAGATGAATGATATAACTGATAAAAAGCCGTCAGCCATGTCCCCT